AGCCAGAAGAGGGAATGTGCATGATTGACGCATTTGATGTTGTTGATATTTTGCCTTAGTAAAGCCGCGCATCCCTACCTATCAGCAGAAGAGAGGCGCTTCCTTCTCCATTCCTACCAACAAATTCAACCTACCGCAACACCAACAGACAACAGCAAAACAAAGAAATGAGCAAAGCATTTATTCACTCCAAAGCAGCTGTTGAACAGACGAATGCGACTTAATTGTGAATGAGTGGCATTAAGGGATCGAGCGGCTCAACTAACGAGCATTTATTCGGAGCACGCAGTTGTCGAGCGAATTACTTCTACAACCCTTGCCTCTGCCTCTTGCTTTACCAACCCATGTCCACTTTTCTATAAAAAGGGAAATGCTGATACAAACACACACACACCTCTTCTCGCCTCCCAGTTGCTACTTGTAGACAAAACGCAGTTCGTCATTGATTGGAGACAGTAACCTAGCAATGCCAAGTTTCCCTTCCGCAATGCGTGCACATCACCCCTCCGTTGCCACATCATGACAACTGCCAGCTGACAGAATGGCGCCTTGCTCATTTCACCACCCGAAAAAGGAGTGATGCACAATAAAAACAGGTAATCAAGAAATAATGAATAAATACAACAGATCCTGCATCAAAAACTTGGATACAAACAAATCACACATCAGTATCACCTTGAGGGCCACGAGCAGAGTGCACATTATACAGGGTTACAATACTAGTTGATCATCATTTTAGGGATTCTTCTTCCGAAAGATATTGTTCCAAATCTTCAGCGTCTTCCTCCACCACATCCTTCTCCGTCGCATGGTAAGTGAATGCGGCACAGTAGAGATGTGAAAGTGCAATATTACCCGACCTAAGACGGTCACTAAAACAAAAGTAGAAAAGAGATGCAAACATGTGAGTTTCAGCGCCAATTTGCAAACTCCTGTTCATATTGCCAGCGATAAAATAGTGCTGACGTACTTTATAAACTCCACAGCGTAGAGTAGCGAAGCACCCTTCTCATCCACACCAATGGATGACAGAATGGTGACCACTGCTACCACACTGGCGCTCGGAATATTGGGCAACGCGGTCACGTACGCGAAAGAGAGAATGCTGAAAGGAGACAACAGCAACAATGCGAATTGAAGGTCAGGCGATATGCGTAAAGTGAAGCAGATTTGACAGCTGTTGTGAACCGACTCACATCACGATGACAACTTTGCCAGCGTCAAGCTCAATATTCGATTGTTGGGCAACGAACATGCAAGAGGCTGCAATGAAGATCGCTGAAGCATCACTCTTCATGGTTCCAGCAAACGGCAGCACAAACCGCGAGATGCGATGAGGAATGCCGTATTTATCGCAGGCGATGAAGGCCTTCGGTAGACAGACCACACTACACATTGGCAAGACGCGACACCAATGCAAAAACAACTCAACCATAAGGAAGGCATGCCTGTTCAAAGAATAAACTCACGCGGATGTTGTGGCAAATGCGATGAAGTAGCTAGGGAAGGAGTACTTGAGAATCTTGAAGGGATTCTTGCACAGCACAACAAGACTGAGGAGGAGGAAGATGAAATGAGTGATTTGACCCACAACATTGAGGAGCACGAAGAATCCGAGTGAAATGAAGGTGGTTTCAATGTCCTCCACCTCCGCAATTGAGCTCATCACCATAAACATTACACCGACTGGTGTTACCCTAAGAAAGGCATCAACCTTTTCTTTAATCCTCCACTCCTGAACGCATGCTTCCATTAGAATCACAATCACGATGCCACTCATCCCTCACCAGTACACCAGTTGTGACGAGCTTGATTTGTATTTTAGCAAAATGCAAGTGTGGATTCATTCTGCCTACTACAAGCGTTGCCACAACAACGGGACCTGATACTCGGGCCATCCTACGCCTGCAGGCGCTTGCCTGCCTACTAGATATTGCATACACCTCATGTAAAATGCAACTTACAGAAGGAACTTCTGCATCAACAGCATCACGATTTCACCGAGGGAACCGAAGAACTTCTTAAATGGCTCACCCTTCTCCTTCGCGGCGTTGGCTGCGATACCAAAGGTGAGGGAACAGAAGAGCACACCTACAAGACACAAGGCGGTAGTTCGAACGAATGGCACAAAAATTCTTTCTAACTCATATTCCGTACCAACATCTGCTACCATGCCATTTGACTATGCTTTGGCATGGCAGTTACTATGGTGAGATCGCCTTCCCTGCCCACCTAAACACATTCCTCTTCGACATCCTTTTCAAATGAAAGACCCGTTTCCTCACTTTACTTACTATGTGCAATTCGCCTTATGCTCACTGCACGAGGACCAACCACTCATGACTAGGTCTGCCGAGATACACTAAGTCGTCGTAGTCGTCGTCAAAACCGAACTGGGTGCAGCAAACGCCTGCTCAAGCATCAAGCACCAATCACAAAACGTCCAACGTTACTGGAGTCGTTGCCACACAGACAGAATCGGTGCAAATTGTTGACTGGTGTGGGGGCGCACACAAACCTATCGACTCTGTTGAGTGGTGAGCTCTTAATATGATATAGCATTTACGCCCTTTTGCTCGGAGGAAAGAGGACAAGCTGAGGGATATATGGAAGGGATGACTGTAGGGTGCGAAAGGATGCAATCATCACTTACCGATCATGTTCGTTCCATCCACAGTGATTGAGGGGTAAGTGACTTCGCCATGGCTGTTGACATGCGGCTTTTCAAAATCAGTGCTTGCCTGGTTGATCGTCACACCAACAATGTTGTCGGGGAAGATGTTCCTGAAAGTGAACGCTGCGTTATGCACTCCACATAACCACAAACCACCATCATCAAAGTCAGTGCCAATAGCACCACCTGCACCTTCCAACGTTAAAACAGACAAGCACATAGCGTTGGGTGTATAACTTACAGCAATAGGTCCTTGAAAATGTAGGAAATTTGGCTTCCTGAAGACGTCAGGTTACTCTGTGGAGCTGATTCGGGTCCTGGTGTTTGGCTTATCACCTTCCCTATTTGAAGACATAAAAGTGTAAGCTAACAACGAGACTGTTCATGTTGCACTGCAGTGCTGTCTTTGAGGCTAGACAAGTAAAGAGAGTGTGAATATGTGAAATCAACCACATGACACTCGTTCGGACCTACCTGGATTGATGATGTACGAATAGGCGACTCCGATAAGTGCGCTCAGAAGGTTGAAGACGAGAATGAAGCCAAGAGCAATACCACTGACTTTCCCATTCTCTTTCGGGTTGAGGTTGGCCATGACTGAGGAAATGACAAGTAAGAAGACAGTGAGTTGAAGTAGCTGTGTGGACCTACATGAGTAGTTGACCATTGAACTGGGAGTTAGAATTACTCACCAATGATGATGTTTGCGGAAATCATGGGAAGAATGGTTAACTTAAGCATGCGAATGTAGATGTTGCCAGGCATAGCTGAAACGGAATGGAGGATTTGCACAAATACCATCTAACACAAATGTCAGGAAACGTAAGTTAGTGGAACTCAAGTCGACACTGTTACCATTTCCTATGATGGTGTTGAAGGTGAAAGTGGTTTGAGAGGTGAATGGAGCATATGGTGGAAGCTCAACTCACCAAGCCATGTTTTGCCAGTTTCATCCAATCCGACTTTTTGAATGCCGAATCCGGCACCGAAACCGATGATAACACCAATGATGGTGGTAATCATGAACCAGTTGTTGATAAGACATCCTACGAAACCCTTTCTCTTCTTTTCTGTCGCCACGGTTTCCTCGTCATCAGAAACTGGATCCTCAGCAGAAAATTTTGTACTCTCCATCCTTGCTGTTGTTCTTCTTCACACGATAATGCAGATGAGGTGCCAAATTCGCTGTATAAATACACGCTTCGTTTAGTGTGATGCTCCTGGTGTTTCATCTTTGCACTTCATTAATTAATTGCCCAATAGTAGATCGCGTGTGGACCGGAGCGTCACACCCATTAATCACGTGTCACCATTACCGATATGAGAAATCACAGAAATTTAGGGCACACTGTTTTCCAAGTTTTACTTGCTTTTGATTGGATAATAACAACTCCTACTTCGTTCTACGGTGGGGAAATGTGACTTCACCTGCAAATCGATTGGAGCATCGGTTTCATAGTAGTAGGTTAGGTGGTAGCTGTGTGTTCTCCGAGGCTCCAACCACGTTCTATTATATTTCCCTTCTTTGAGTCCGTAAAAATACTATTGCTTTACCTCGTCTTATTGCGACCACAACAACTGATTGATGGGTTTGATGGTGTGAGGAAATGTTGGCGCCAAGCCTGAATTTGCACAATCCCAGGCATGGGAAAAGGTGCTCGTTTTTCAGTGGTAACAATGCATTTATTTTGAAATGGGAAATTGTAGGTACTCGGCGGCTACGGCGACATACGGCTGTTGCAACTGGATGAACTTACTCTGGCATTGAGTAGCTGAGCTTCTCGGTAACTTCTATCCTTTCGTGTAAGTCAATTAATGTGTCTTAGCAGAAGCAGGACCTGTGAATTATCTAAATGATGATTAGGATTTGTGAAAATTAAAATGGGTACGTTTAACTCCTTTTTTATTGGTGCGTATTGCAGTTAGACATCCGAGTATCAGTGACTATGTGATGCAGATCATTCAGGCAATTTTAACTTTACTGAGTTGCATTGAGATTTCAAATAGTAGTACACTAGTCTATTTTGTTTGTGTCAAAAACGAGGATTTGGACTAGACTTGGGTGACATTTTCATCCTTAATCTGAAAAGTTCACATGATATTATTTTTATCATCAAGATGTTGGGGTTAATTTCTGTTGAGAAAAAAACAAATTACTAGTTTTGTGAATTTGCTGGCATTTTTGAAAGCGAGTATAGGACTGATCGAGGTTACTGAGAATGGTATTAGTGTCATTACTCGGTCTTTGGTCCCAAGTTAGGCAAACTGAAATCGTGAAGATGCACGAGGAAGAGGGAAGCACATATATGGTTATAAGCCTCCAGAATCCACTTTTCAACTCACCTGCTTCTTTGAGGTTCCTCTCAATACGGTTACAGGTGGATAGCATGCAGTAGAGATGGGACAATGCAACAGTTGGTGCAACTAATACTTGCCAAAAGCAAGGACCTCAAAATTGTCTTCACAAGTAACAGAATGTCATACTCCAATTGTGTAGACGAAGCTTCACAATGTGCATGGATGTAAAATAACGCTGTTCAGTTAG